TTCTGATCACTTTAAAGACATATCATGATCATGTAGTTCACGTTCATGCATACTAGTTTTACTATGATTTTTTTCATGAATATATATTGAAATAACTTACAAAATTCTACCAGTCTATGTGTTCTGTATTTTTCTTTTTCTAGCTTAAAAAGTAATTGTATGTTTTTATGTTAGATGCATATCTTTGTGTGGTGGAAAAAAAAAACGAATTTTCGGAGTTTGTTTAATTGTTAACCTGTCGCCATCAATAACACCCCTAGTAATAATAATTTCTAAATTGTTAGAAAATGTGTTTTTCATTTATCATATTTTATTAGATCATAATAACAATTCTAGAATCTAAGTGTATTTGCTTAACTTTTTATTGGACAAAATAAATAGTTGTTTCTAGTTTGTTCAGTTGTAAAGATTATCATTATTATTAATAACTATATTTTGTTTGCCTATTTTGTTTTTGTTTTTTTTGCGGTAACTTTTTCATGTTTCCCCTGTTTTTCGTTTCGTTTCTGTATCTTTGTATGTTTTAAATCACTTATAATATTGACTATATACATAGTTGGGTGGTCAAAAGCGATTGTTTGGTTAGGAAAAGAAAAGAAGATAGTTTTAAAGTAATGCATACTGTTTTTTTTTGGGAAAATATTATAATTTGACTAGGATATCACAATACAAATTCCGATAGAAATAACTGATTATGTTCAGAGGAAATAAGAAAAAGAACAGAAGATGATCGTTTAATGAGTAGTGATTCACTTTAGGAAATAATAATATGCGATTAATTGACTGATGCTATTAGACTATCTACATCAAAAATAAATGATTTTGTTTTAATGAATTGATTGTTGAAAAAATTTAAGTTACTACTGGTTCCAGTTAGCTCCAATTTATTTTGCAATACTTACTTTATAATAATTACGTTTTTTTGTAGTTTTGAAACTTTTTTAGGGATTACATTTGCTAAACTGATATTTTATAATTCATCTTTTTTTAAAGAATGCATCACTGAATATTGCTAGCTGAAGGTTTAATCAACTGTCTTGGTTATTATTGTTTCATTACAATAAGTAAAATAAATCCGTTTACAATTATAGTATATTGTTTATTATATATGACAGTCAGTCAGTCACAACATCGAACATCGTGCGTACGTATATCAGTTTGAGTTGCCATACCACATTAACGCAGATGCACTTGTCGATTCAAATCCCATAGTGGTAGATCTGGTAAGAGTATAAGCAGTAATCCGAAAGATTAGGGTTTGAAGTGTGGTGTGGTCTACTTATATCCATTTAAGGAGTATATGGTGTTGGTCAGACATAGAATTTATTTTGGCAGAAGACCGATGAGGAAAGAACTGAAATGAAGCGCAATCGGTAGGAAAATGCATGAACAATGGAATTAGAGAAGAAACAGTGAAGATTGAAACAGTTGGTTGTTAATTTGTAAATTAACTGTTCATTGTATGGTTATCAGAATTTACTGAGATAGTTTGTAATTTTTGTTTAAATACATTCGATTGTCCCCAGTTGTGTTCTGTTCACTACAGAAGGTGTATAATCCAGTGCAATAAATTTGAAAAGAGAAATAGGTAGGAACATGAAGAATTCAAAAGTTTAAAATTTGGCCGAACACAAAGAGTGACAAAATAATTAATTTTTATCATTGCAATTAAGTTATTAAACAAGGACCATATTTACATACAATTATTAATTTCTCTTAACGCTGCATTTCAGTCTTAAGTTTGTAAAATAAGTCAGGTTATTTTTTAGTAGTAGCTTCAAAATATTTATCCTAATTATTTCTGTAGAGCTAATTTTATAAGCTGTTTTAGTTTGTTTCCTTATTTTTATACTGACTACGTTTAGATAAATAATATCACACAGAATTATATTCTATAAAAACAATCTGACTGTACACTTGATTACTCATGTTGGGATTGTTATTAATTTGTCTTCAAAAATTATTTGCTATGTCCCAAATCAATTGAGATACTTCCGTATTTAGCGTTATTGATTTATACTTTTATTTAGTTTCTTTATTAAAAACTGTTGAAATTGTTTGCTATACATTTAGTGCCTTGGTTCATTGTTATAAACAACTTAAAACGTGATTTATATCGGAGCAAAAATCAATGGTATTAATTATATTGAGAATTAAATGGTCGTGGCAATATAATTTATTTATTTATTTAACCACACAAACATTGGTACAAAGGGGCACCACAATATACATTCGTCACATAATAGGTCATTGAATTCATGTATGTGCTGGGGTACTGCTCGCGTGCCCACTCTTTTAGCCTTTGACCTATAAATCTAACCCACAAGGCCCTGGAGCAACGTTAGGAGATACACTCTCATCGTAACCGGTGATCAAGAATATATTCATATGCTATTTGTTCCCTCAGGATTCTGCAACCAGTGTGCACTATTAGTTTGCAATCATAATTTTTCAGCTCCCCTATGCCGATCCTCCGTACTCTGGAAGTGTGTATATAAGAGCATTTGGAGAGGGGGATGAGACTCTTCGCACACTTGACCATACCAGGATACCGGTGGCGTTTTATTCATACTTTTAAAACCATATTACCATATAGTTTAAAAATTCTGAATAAAATAAATAAAATAGTTTTAAATCTCAAGATTTAGAACGAAGCAATATATAAGTTAACCTTAAAACGATTTTGAACCATTTCATAATCTTCAGCAATATAAATTACAATTATTTCATGGTCCTCAGTCAAGAACTCTTTTCAAAATCAGTTCAATACTATAAACTGATATATTTCCTCTGTAAATCTTTCTCTAATTGTAAAAGATTTCACAAATAATTAACTATTGAATTACGGATTCATGATTCATCTGTCTGTATATTCAATTTCAGTCAGTTTTTTTTATAAATATAGTTCAGTTCTTATATATTTTCAGAAGGGGGTTTCAGGGAGATTTCAGTAATTTTATATAGCTGAGATCATGAGTCAATTGAAACTAGACCACCATGAAAAACCTGGAAGCACTGGACGGCCGTTTCATCCTGTTGTGTGACTCCTCAGCAGTGCGTATCCACGATCCCGCAGTGGAGCTATTCCATGTCAGGTAGAGACAGTTATCTACCTCAGTACAATGAAATTCGGTCGCGCGATTTCGTGGATTGGTTGGGGTCAGACATTAACACCGTTGGATGCCGGCCAGCTCAGTGGTCTAGTTGTTAAGTGCTCTGGCGCGAGACTAACAGGTCCTGTGTTCGAATCTCTTGAGGTAGGATCTTGCATGCGCACTGCTGAGGAGTCCCACAATAGGATGAAACGGCTGTCCAGTGCTTCCATGTTTTCCATGGTGGTCTAGCTTCAATTGATCCATGATTTTTTATATTAGTTGCTACTACCTTTTTTGTTTTTCTTAATAATCAGCACTTTATTCATTAATCTGTTTTTTTTTTTAATTTTTATACAATATTTTTTTTACTGAAATCTCGTTATGTCTTTCAAATTTTCTTAATTTCTTGAATAATTCCTACTTATTATATAATAAACATGGAATTCTCTTCTTAGACGAATACATTATTATTATGGCATTTTTCACCTACAAGAATAATTATATACTAATCTAATATTTATGTAGATTAATTAGGTATTAGAATTTATAAAACTTTTATTTGTCTATAGAAAATGATATTTAATAAAAGAGATTTTAAGAATGAAAATAAATAATTGCTTAGATGTTAATTACATAAAGTATCAATGATTCAATTCAGCAAAGTGCGGAATTATATATTAATTTAGTGTAAGAAGATTTTCATAAATTAATGAAATGTCAAACGCAGTTGTAAGTTATGAAACTAGATGATACGGCTTAAAAATAAGAAAAAGTAGCCGGTTTAAATTACACCCACCGACCCCGAATGCCCTGGTACGGTCGAGAGTGGAAAGAGTCCGCTTCCCCTCTCCAAATGCTCTCACATGGCCACGCGTATATAGCCTCTGCTAGGGAAGTTTTAATCACTGCTTTCTCGTGGCAACACTGTTTTTTTGCGAAATTGAGAGGACGAAAAGTGAATGTTCGGCGCTTTAACCGGGTTGGTGGACACGGTTAGTTTACCTAGGGGAGTTGGAAAACCCTGATTCCAAACCAATGGTGCATATGGGTTCCAGTATCCTGAAGGAACAAATGGCGTATGAATCAATCGTTGGTCACAGGATACCATGGGATTGCATCTCCTTACGATGCTCCACTGCCTTGTGGATCAGATCTTTAGGTCAAAGGCTCGGAGTGTGGCACCCTAAGAAAACCACTTTCTTCAGTTTGGACACACGGGTAGTATCACAGCCCTCACACAAATCAAACGAGATTTGTGTGGCACATATATATCTGGTGCCTTTTTGTACCAATATTTGTGTTTAAATCAATAAATAAAGGTTATATTTAATGAATAAATTGAGCATTGGGTAGATTGTTATAAATAAATTAATATATTTGTCCAAGTCTTGGATTAATATTAATTTGGTTATTTATTCTCTGAAGAAGTGGCTTACACTGAGTCACGAAACGTCAGAAAATCTAATTTTTCTACTCATTGGGATATTACAAATATATTAATTTAGTTCTATTTAATGGTTAAGGTAGTATATTCAGTGAACTTTAAGTAGAGAGAAATGATATATACAAATACCGTCTCTGAGATTCCTAAATACGTTGTGTGGCGAATCACAGAGATTTTGTGTATTTCGGCCAGTTTTCTACTTTTCTCGTCATGTTAGTGTGTTATAGGAATTTGGGCCAGAGTACATGTATGTCAGACTTTAAGTTGATCATGACTGACTTGTTGTTGTTTGATAATAAAGAGTGGAATTGTTTATCTCTTTTATCTGTGTTAACAAAATTCTTATGACCGGTCAGTTTTTTTTTTCGAGTGGTTTTACGTTGAATAACTTGATTCATCCATGTATAATTATTTTTTAGTCTCGAAATTCACATGAGCTACTTTATCTAATTTTATTTTAGTCTCTTCCAATCCTTCGTCAAAAAATGTTTTATACATGAATTTGGACGGTAGTCTATTGAATATTGATGCGGTCAATGACATTAGGAAACCAATAGAAATAATTGCTTATGAAAGTCAGAATATAACATTACCTTGCGTATTCAGTTCTCCAAAACCATATGTGCCTAATGTGAGTCGAGTTATAGGTATATCTAATGGAAATCAAAAGTTTGACGCTTTATTTGGTAAGTCCAAACGTTGAGAAAAATTTGGTGCATATTTTTCAAATAGATACTACTGCTTAATCGATGAGTAATCAATTCTCCACATGTTTTTTTCTTTCTTCTAGGCGTTTTAGATATATATAGTTTGTCGAAGAATGATGAAGGATTGTACTTCTGTTCGGTTAACAATATTACGTCATATGCCTATTTAAAGGTTCTTCGTAAGTTAAGCTTTTTAAGAAATATACATAAATATGCCTAACATTTGTTTCCACAAATCTAAAATCAATACATGTAAAATGTGTAATCAAGCTGTCAACTAAACAGTTAGATAAAATATTCCCAGAAAAACGGATTAGTCTGGTTATTAATTTTTTCTTGGAATAATTCAAAAACCTATTCAAGTGAGTAACTATCTGCATTTACGGGCTAAGCAGATAATGCGTTGTGTGTGTGAACGCAAGGTATTGACTTCAATTATTGGTATGAAAATGAACTTTGACGTACAGGTGCATTCAGCTAGTGAGTCCCACACAGAACAAAACATACCTCTTAGATTACAATGCTGACCACATCCCATTTTTTCTTGTTTATGTTAAGTTCATTTTGATATGAATAAACAAGCATCAAAATATAGTGAAATACTTAAGTTTAGGCTACCTACTTGTGCTACAGGTATGCATTTAATTTAATTTGTAAGAATTTGAGTTATCTGGTTGTTTTACTCAATTTCACTATTAGCTACAATCCGTCTGCTATAAGACTAGTGATAAAATGACTTTATCGAGTCAATTCCCCCATGATGCTTATATGCCAACTAAGACCGATCAAAATTCAATCAAGAATAACAACAACTCATATCCTTACAAATTAGAATAATACATTGTTCAATATAAAAATCATAACAAAAAAGAGTAGATGATTTCAGGAAATATTGTGAATAATGTCCAGTAACGAAATGTAATTTTCACTTGTCGATTGTTATAGTACCTAGTGATTTGACCAGGAATCTTGCACTTTTGTACATACCTTGAAGCACCGACTTCATAATTTAATGTCAATTTTTAATTTGATCATTCTCAGATTTTTTTCGAATCACGCTTTTATCACTCAAAATATCATTCTGTGGTAAACCGTCAATCAGCTAACTCAATGATTGTTTATCATCTCATCAATTGATCCACTTTAATTACGTATTGTCTCATATTTAGTATTGATAAATAACACTTACGACTGAGTAGTTTTGACTTACGTTTCCTTTTCACAGTTCAAAGTATTATTTCACAAACATTTAATATTTGTTCAATTGTTTCACCGTCTATTGGCTCAATGTACTACTGAATTATGTATTTTATCATAAATGTTACTTACAAGTTTGTTTTTTCTTGAATTATTATTTTCAAATTCCATTTCGTTTCATCAAAAAATGATTACCTTATTACATATTTCAAAATCATACATTTCCCCCCTTGATTATATCTTCCTGTTAAAATTTGTTTGCCTTTTTGTTTCCCCAAAACAATTTTATGTTTAATGTGATATCTACAAATATATATGTATCATTGTTTTAAAAAAAAAACTTATTATTGTTATTTCAGCCTCACCTCAATTAATCGTTTATCCGCAGAATATTAAAGCGAATATAGGTGATTATATTAATTTATCATGTATAAGTTCTGTAATTGATATAACACCGACTTGGTATTTCAACGGAATTCCTGTTCAATCAACAGTGTCTATAAATCCATGTAAGTATATATATATATACATATATATATTGTCTGTTATCTTATTTCTTAACATTCAATTAATTATCTGAAGAGAATATTTTATGAATGTTTAGTTAACGTTAAATCAAAGAATAGTATTGATTTCCACGTTATAGATATTTTTCTCGATATTGGTTATATACACCCGTAGAACCGTTAGTCAGTAGATGATTTCGTTGAACATTCAAATTATTTATATGTGATTATCATGTATCATGTAACATATTGTTATTGACATAACGTATCAATTGTAGAATAGTCGATTAAAAACCTTTGTATTTCATTAGTTTTAATATTGAAATGTTGGTCATTGAGAGTACAGTTTCAGATCTAAATTAAATTTGATCAGTTGATAATGATCGTCTTTTGCACAGTTTACTTTTGTGTTGTATATGGGATTCATAAGCTACCTTACATATCTATATAGTGGTAGGATATATATGTTTTGTTCATCTGTTTACTTTTGCCTTTCCCTGCTTTCTTCATTCCTTAGATTATTCTGTTTCATCGCTTATTGTACTTGCCTTTCTACTCATCCCTTTTCTTTTCCATTGTATTAACTTTTTAAAAAAAGTTGAGGATAAAAATGCTGAAAATTCTGTGATATCAATATTCTGTTGTATTATTATCGTATTACTGTATTCATAATCTTCATCATCACCCTTTTCTCTCTTCAGTCCTCTCTCTATCCCCTATTTTCTTGCTTGTTTTAATATTCTCCCTTTTTATTCTAAAAAAAGACAATTTATAATCTCATGTTTTATTATTTCATGTTATTTTAACCGATTTTTGACAATGAACATGACAATTAAGTTAAGTAGAGAAAGAAAGAGATGTGGAGAATAAAAGCAAGGCAGAATGAATTAGTGAATAACTTTGAATTTACTTGTACCATGTACATGATATATGTACATTTGACTAAATATCATTTACCGAATAAAAAAGATTAACAATCACTACTAGTACAAATGTAATAATAATAATAGTAATGAATATATTTGTTCATATGTATAGCGTTGATATTCTTGCTATTGTTGAAATATCTATTAGTTTTGGATGTTGTCTGTTTTTTTCGCTTTACAACTATCCTATAAGTTTGCTTGTTCAACTATATCGGTAAGGGTGGTTTTCCTTTTATTTTATTACTCTGTTACACATACCCTAACATCTCCACATTACATGTGGTTATGTCTTTTTTCGTTTTGCTCTGTGGTTTCCTTTTCTATGGGTTTTCCAATGTTAAGTATTTGTAATATGAAGATGTTTATTTGATTGTATACTTCCAATGTCAGAAGTATCCATTTTACATTATAGTGAAATAATGATAACCCAACTGTTTTATATCGGCTACATTCAGACCTTTCTCTCTAGGTTTGGGGTTTTTATAGGCGATTCTTCATTGATTCAGTAACTGTAGTTTGCATTATCAAGTTTGATATTACCGTGAATCACCTATTATCGACTAGTTTGAATTATACCAGCGTAAATATGTTTTCAAAAAAGCTGAGATTAAGATCAGTAACTACTCAGTATTCATAGCAAAATATCTAATACTGTAATACAAATATTTCAGTTAATTGCATTAAATAAAAGTAGGAGAATGAATTAATTGATTGTTACGGTGAATGATACTAGTGATTCTTGTTTTCAAGTTGAATGTGATTAATTGAATGATAACTTTTCAGAGGAAGATTCTATCAGTCATTCATAGTAAATATAGAGCTTGTTATAAATGTGCGTTAGCTCAAGTTTCCATACCATATTAGCACTAAGAGATAGATATGACATGATAAACTAAGACACTGGTCGAAATAATTTATTAGCGATATTAAAGAGACGGAATAAACATTAAAAATATAGTTTGAAAACGCAGAATTTAAAGTTATGTATGAAGATATACCAGCACTCAAAGCGTAAAGTAATATACAGAATGGATACATTTACGTAATTATAAATAATTTTAGGCTAGCAATGCATCTTCGCAAACCACCGACCTTGGTTGCCGTGAGGACCTTTACCATATAGTCTTCATCTACCATCATGAATCAAAACAACAGTGAATGACTTAATGAAGTGATGTCTTATTTTGGTCTGCTCTCCCCAAAACCCCCTCAACCTTACCAGCTGACATGGTATGTCGAGATAAGCGCTGGTTAAAAAATACGTATTCCATCCATCTCAGTTGATGAATACTCACGGCTTAAATATATCTCCTACCTCCTTAGAATATGTTTCACAGCCATAGAATAATACAGAGTAGAACTCTGTATAGTATGTTCACATTTTGGTTAGCAGATAAGCATCTTGCCTACACAAGACATGGCGTAAGTTCGCAGAAGCCAAACGAGCTTTCTGAATTGCTGGACTTTAACGGGACACCAACTGACGACGGTTGTAGAGACTTCTAAAATACGTAAAGTGGTCAACGCACTCAAGTGTTTCATTCCTATGGTTGGTGTAGAAGATGATTTAGACTAGTCTTGAGGAAACATTGCGTTTAAAGGAAAAGAAATGCACAGTGATATAGAAGTATTTACGATTGATCTCCCTTCGACTGTTTGTTCTCAATATTACTTCGTACTTTTTCTTTCTATTCGTACTTTCTTTCCAGATCATATTCTCTAATGTTCGGTCTTTCTCACTATCAGTGGTACTACTATTTATCTTTTGCCACATCGCCCTTGACACTGTAATTAAACTCAAACTATTGTGTATTTGAACCAGGCTTTATGGTGTTTATGATTGACTCACTGTCGGTTAAATCAATCATACTACACTGCTATTAAACTAAAGTCAAATGAGTATCACATTAATAGAAAAGAAACTTATCACAAATATTTAATGTGATTATCATCATAATGATCTCAACTTATCTTTTAATTTAGTCATTTATGCTTATATAAACATAATTATAATATAGTTTCGATTAATACAAATTATCACTCTTTTATATTCACGTGGTATTGTTTGGTTGAATCTTCCCGTTGACGTTTAGGACTGCAATTGATCAGTCTCTTATTGGCCATATGTGCATACTGTGCGTATTGCCTCTATATAGCCTTAATTCACAAGCGATGTCGTTTCAAGCGAACGGTACTGAGTTCGAGTCCCAGAGTGAATATCAACTCTGAGATGCAGGTATATCCAGCTGACGAAGTCCCAAATAGAACTAAGAGCGCGTCCTGAATTCCACGGCTAGCCATTATCCTTCTTTGCTTGTCACTCTTTTGTTTAACATACGATAAAATATTCTAGTCACATAAACAGTTCCATTTATACACTAGGTAATACTAGTAAATTGGAAAAAAAAACTAAGCAACAAGATTGGAACAATGTCCTTTTACTGTTATTTTGCAATAACATAGTTTTTATTTTTCACTCAGACTAAAATTAAATCTATTTCTGACGTCATGTCTTAAAACAGGTTAATCATAAAAATCATCCATTTTTTTCCTCTTATGCTGATATCTCTTTTAAAAACCTTATGCTTAGTTAAATTAAATTGAATTTTCTTGTATATATTTTAATGAGTTTTATCATACATCATGTATATATATACTCTGCGGATATTACTTTGTTCAATTATATGGACACTGACGCCATCCATGATTGTCCAATCAGATAAATTCCAGACAGTCAATTTTTCATCTTTGTGTCTATTTTTTAAAAAAAAATTTCTGTTCTAGTTCTTCCGGTCATGTAAATAAACTTGATCATGTTCTTTTCTCTATGTTCATCTCCCTGTCTTTTTTCAGACCATACTTCATTGTTAATTAATTCAATGCAATTATCAAATGTCGGTATATATCAGTGTATTCTTGGAAATGATGTCAATAATATATGGATAGATGGAATAAGTACCATTATTTTACATGAACAATCATTATTTACAAAAGGTGAAATTTTTAAAGTTTTTTTTTGTTGCTATATCATAAATTTCATCTTTTTTTGAAAAAAATATTTTAGGACTTATTTTAAATTCCATTTTAAAATCATATAAATTACGCCATTATTATTACTATTATTATTATTATTATTACTATTACCATTATTATTACTATTATTATTATTATCTGTATACCATATAAAGTTTTAATTTATTTTTTAAAATGTGTATGTAAAATTTATTTTTTTTAATGTATAATATAGTAAAGACAAGTAGAAAGGGGAAATGCGTCATCTAAATGAAATTAACAGTTTTTATGAAAAGAAGTAAAAGAATTTGTACTAAGCAATGTACTTCAAATAAAAATCTAAACGGAATAATTAACGTTTATTTAAAATGCATGTTTTGCTTCTTTTTTTTGTTTTAATATGAAGAATACTTTGAAAAAATTGATACGTCTTACTGATTAAACGCTATATTCAGATCCTAAGCTAGTCTTGTAACCCCCAAGCTAGAACTGCACAGCGACTTGAACATGAGAGTAAGGGCACAAAATATGCGGGAAAGCACTTTACTCCAAAGGTTCCTTTATGTGCAGAAAATATAGGGTTTTTATAGTATGACTGTCTCAGCAGGAGCATCTGATTTTGTAGATGGACATGGAAGACGTCAACTCAAGTAACCTATTCTTTGTTTGAGTCGATATCACTGGTTAACTTTTTAAAAAAATCAACCCAAGATTAGCTGCGTATAGTGCCCCATTAACTACCTTCGCTATTGTATCATAAAAGACATCGCTAGCCACACATCCGTTAAATTGTAGTTTTAGGAATAAAGGTTTGTTTCGAGTGATCAATATCTCCAAATCATTTTTTTTCTGCATATATACTTTAAAAAATCTCGGATAGTCGTTCTCCCTCAGTATGTTATTAAAAAACATCAACTTTATGATATCACCTAAGTAGATATTTTTGCTCTGCTTGCTAGATATGTATTCAGATTTCTCTTGTAGCCAATACATACACTTCTATAGTTTGATACTTATCCAAATATTATATTCTTTGTTTTCATTCCTTTCAGATGAATTCAATTCTGCTTTATCTAAAGTTACATTTCCTTTAAGTCATGATAAGATTGACTTATTGAAAGTGAAAATTGGTAATAAAAAACAATTGACATGTTTATCACAGTATAATTTAGATCCATATCACCAAACAGTTGATGATATTGCAAAAACTCTGCACAATTTATTACCTATTGGAAATAGTAATAGTCTATTGGAACGTTTAAATATATCATGTCTTTTAAATTTGATTCATGTAAAATGGTTGAAAGTTGACGGACCAAATTCATTATTATTAATAAATAGTAATATTAATAACAATAATAATAATGCTTCAAGTCATAAATTACAATGTTCTACACTGTATGCAATAGATATCAATGTCACTAGATCAACTGATTTTGGTCTATATAGTTGTAATATATATTTCGGTGAACAGTTAATATATGAACGTTATTTCAGACTTATGGAATCTGTTATTTTATCGCATTCATGTAAGTTATTTCTTAACTTTTTTTATATTTATTATTGTATTTTGAATAAGTTACATATCTGTCAGATAGTTTCAATCATTTCATTGATATATGCAAAAACTGGGGTATTGGCTCACTATTACACTTGAATTGTGTTATGATTCTAAATTGAATCCATTCAGACATGTGTTTTTACGGGTTAGGACATCGTTGAACCTCATCTCTTGTTTAAATAAACCATGAAGCGATAGCTTATGGAAGGATCTTTTTAATGATTCTTTGTTGTGCTTCACATACATCACCATTTTACGGGGAAAGTCCAATGAGATGAAAAGACAGACCTATAACTAAATGATGAATCTTATTTTCGTTTCATTTACTTACCGTTTATATCTTTTTGTTCGTAACTGTATATAGTGAGAACTATTGTAACTTCGATACAAGTGAATGGTATGCTCATGCAATAATCTTTTTAATTAGTTATAATATTTATTCTCCTATCTTTTCAATCTTTTAGTGAATAGCGATATAGAATTTAACCATTCCACCAGTAAATTTACGGATCTTCATCACAGAAGCTTTAAAAAGATAGATAGTTTGTTGCATAATGATCAAGTGACTTATCCTTTATATCGTACGCGTCGTAGTCAAGATCACAGAGTTAATAAATGGTCTTCATCTTCTGAACATATCGGTACACTGCCTTTGTTAAATTTATCATTCCCAAGAAGTTCATGTGAGTGGGTTCATTTTCATCCATATTATCATTAATTCACGTGGTTATATTTTAGCTGAGCAATTATTTATATTTTCTACATATTTATAGAACAATCAGCTGTCCCAGCCATAAACGAGCTGATAAGCTGAATTATAGTTTAGATTTCTATTTATGCATGAAATAATATTATATGGAGTCGATAAACATTTAGTTCATCTCTTTTGAATTGTGTTGTTGAAAGTGATTATAGCTTAATAAAAATTCGGTTTATTTATCACTAAATAACATAACTAATTCTCGACACACTTCTGACGTAACATGTACAACTGGTAGATTCAAGAACTGAATTATTGATCATTGGCTCAGCCTTTTTCTTTGTCTGCTTACGATTAATTAATCAGTAGTATATTGTTGATGGTAACATATTGAATTTGGTCCACAGTTGAAATTTTGTTTGACTTATTTGAAAATGTTTAGACGGGTTAGTTTATTCGATGCACCTACTGGAATGGATAAAGAAGTTGGCGAGCAAATCGTTCGTCTCTATATAATTGGACCTTTCTGTTTTGCAATCTCATTTGAATAGTTTCAAAAAATAGAACACAATTCTTGTCGGTTAACAAATAAGTGATCGTAGATTATATATATATATATATATATATATATATATATATATATATATAGACCGGTGTGTATTCACTTCAACCCATTGTTATTTGAATTTTATCTTTTTGTTGGGAGCCCTTGAAAATTGATTGAAAAAGTTATCAGAAACTCAGAGTAGGCTGAAAACATTTTGTCCAATCAGCGTTCATCAAAAACTCCTCATACAGTTCTAAGTAAACTATGGTTTATGTATGGTATCGTGATTAAATAATTAACAATTTTTTGTGATTAGATTTTGTTTGTTTCCTAAACGTCCAGAATATCAAAGTCATACATTGACCTATATATGTCCTTGTTTTATAAGTGTAAACTGATATTCCTTTTTATACTTTTGACTTTTTATCTCTTGTTCAAGATTGTTATCTAGAAGATTCATTGATAACTAGATAGTTAGGAGTCAGTATTAATCGTCCATTTGCGTATCACCTTTTTGCTTTCATTCTTTAATTATTTCTGTTGATTGTTTTTGTATTACTTCCCCCCTCTCTCTATCCTGTTCATTTTCTTAGATGAACATTTATATAAACCGAATGCGACAACTGTTGGTGACAATTTAGCTGTACTAATTAGTTGGAATTCAATAAATTGTGATTTTTATCGTATTGTTCTCAGATCAAACATTCCAGAGTCGGATGGCCTATTTGATCGGTCGACAATTGATGAAACAGTTAGTAGTGGTCAATCTGTATTTTTTTATTTATATACGTATGTTTTTATCCATTGTGGTTATGATTCTGTGGATAGGAGGGGATTAGTGTCATGATCATATATGACTACTGAATAACTTTTATGTATCAACTAATTTTCAGTCGGATTAATTTTTTTCCTTAATTTTCTTATCAATAGAAAAAAGTTGTTGGGTTGCCTTAGTTTCTCCCCCCTTTACCTTATTTGCTTAAATTATTCTTCTTCAATTAACCGAAATAGTTTTGTGTACCGTATCATATAATATGCTCATCAATATGTAATTTCCAAGTGTTTCAAATGTTTGTTTGTGAATAGTTTATGAATGTCTGTGATGTTACGAAGCGATGGATATATGGTCAATACTTTCGATTTCGGCCCTTTAATGTGCAGGTTCAAACCCTTGCTCTACCTATTTCAGTTTAAGCAACTGAATTATATCACTCACACTCGAAAGTGAATCCACACTAAGTACACTAATCTGTACCTGACAAATGTGGTAATCATGTTACTGTTGATTGGGAATTATCTACCTCTTCCAACAGTATTTATTTCATACAATTCTCTCTCTCTCAAATAGTATCAATTTTTTCCTAGTAACGTTTGAATTAGTATTTGTTTACAATATGTGTACCACTTCTCGGTTTACCGTTATTATCGAAGTTTAGGATAACTACAATATCAGAATCATACAAAGATGCAAATTTCCATGGTCATATACATTATGACCTAATGTCTCGGCAAGAATTGTTGTCTCTGTGATCTAAAGATGTATTATTCATCACGAAATATATATATCGTCGCCATAATCTCATCTAAAATGATGAATGTGCTTCTGTATGTGGTGTATCCCATACAACAGGAAGAAACATGTCTAGTCGTTTCTGATTTTTAAATGTTTTCTAAACAATATCAGTTCATGATACAGGATACCTTCGAAAAGTTCACTCATTGAAAATGTATTTAGGAACTTTATTTATCTAAGTTCTTGCTAACTCTACATAGCACTTCACAAATCGTATACATCAAGTCTGTTTTTTATGTATTTCGAGTAATATAAAATATTGATATTTTTAGGGATCTTGTTTTCTTTTCATTTGTATTGTATAATTAACCACATCTTAAGTGTACTTCCAGTTTACACACTGTTATATCCTTTCTCCTCCTTGACTTTCTAGGTAGAAGAATGTTGTAGTCTTGACACAACATGTTGTTTGAAAAACAAACATTTCTACTTGACTAATCGTCATCCTGGTGAATTAATACCAGGAAAAAGTTATCAATTTCGTATAAATGCTATTAAACAAATAAATAATGATGATCGGTTAGTTGATAAGAGTCCATGGTCTGAAACTGTTAGTTTTCAGCATATTTCTAAAGTTGCTCCAGTCATTACAGAAACTGAACGATTAGTAAGTTTTATATTTGTATATTTAATCTTTTACTTCGTTAAGATAAATTTCTTTATTCAAGTATTAGTTTTCTGTTTGATTAAAAGCATATCCTTTGTGTTTGAAAAAAGCTATTCTTTATGGGGTGGTTTTTTTCTCATCAATCAGTCAGTCATAAAAATAGAACATGACATTAGTGTTCTTCAGTCCAAACTACTGAACCATATCAAAAAAGTGAGATGATCTCGTAGAATATCTAAATAGAAGTAGTAGTTTTAGTGATGGTACAGAAAGATTAGGGATGAAGTAGATTCATTGAAAGGGAATGAATTAGCCAAATGAAATGCGTAACATGAATTTGAAGCCAGGGATATACGGAAAGACAAAGATAGGGTGAATTTGCACCACTGTGGCTGATTTCGAACCATGTCATCAATTGTCTCCAGCTACTCATCACGATAATCATGCGGACCTCAACTAGGTAGTTTGTGTCCACCAACATGGATCAGACAAAGAACCAATGATTTCCTGAATGTACACAATATTTTGATCTAACCATTCATAGCTTTCTTTCAAACTACTTCTATACCAGACACTGTCCATCAAGATAGATGCTGTTTAGATATATGTTATATATGTTCTTAACGTGTCAGTCGGTCTGGTAGTTGTTGATAAATAATAAATTCGTAAAACTGAGAAGCATTATGTTGAACTTATCATTTTTTTTTAATGTCCACACCTCCCCGAATGACATAATCCTGTCATTTTCTTTAAAAATTTCTATCAGAGCGATAATTTCCAACATCATGATTCTTGGCATTTCTGTTCACTTACGATTCATAGTTCTTATTGAATAAATACATTATTTTTTTATTTACTAGTCGGATGGTGGAATATTAACTCGTTGGACATTAGCTACATCTGCTGTTGGCTTCCCTATTGATCATTTCCTTCTACTCTATCGTCCAGAAGAACGTTCAGCCAATGGAAGAATCACTTATAATGGATTTAAAGCAGTTTTTGTTGATGGATCTAATGCTACAGTAAATGGAAATGTTCTCTGTTTTTTTGTGTTTTTTTTAATCTCGTGGGAAATATTTATTGTTAAATAAGCTATGTTCGTGTTGTTGTTTATAGTTCTGTTTAAGTTTTCATAGTTTCCTACTTTCTTTATTTATAACTTAAATGCATTTCATTTGTTCTGTAAGGAAAATAAGTCTTAATTGGTTTGTCATACCGTAGGCTGTTTGTTTGTGAGCTCCTGATTGTTTCACTTAAACCATTAATCATAGGCGCACTAGCTTGATGTCGATGGTCATCGACTTGATTTAAACCCTTCTGGTTTGAAATTAGAATTTCTGACCTTTTCAAGCACAGTTTTTGTCTTCTGAAAGAGATTCCTCTTGAAAAGGGTGACAATTTGCTTTTAAAGAGGCTTTAAACGCTCAGCTGAGTAGAAACAGCTCGAAAGTGGTATTAAACTACCTTCAACCTTTTCTATCTCACTTGCTGGCGAATTGAAATATATTGAGATGTTTAGATGAAAACAGATTCTTTTGTCATCAATATTAACACACAACAGGTTTGTCTTTATTACAGACAGCATTAAAACCATTTAGTCTCAAGTGTAAACAATATTAATTGTTATTATTCCTCCATTTTCTTTATTCACATGTTTTTAGGAGCACAAGCTACAAGCTTTAGAATCAGGTAAAGGGTATCAAATTGTGGTTTACGGCGTGCATACACCTCCTGGATTCGACCCACAATCGACAATTTTCACAGGTGGATTGAATGGACGGAAAATCACTCAATTCAGCCATGAAGTGTTTGTAAAGCCACGTTCAGTATGTTTTCTAGTGTTGTTTCTTTGTTCTTGCTTTTTTTCTCAATATCTATGTTGTGATTACATATATAGTATTTCAAAGGAAATTAATTTTTCATAAACGTTCATAATAGATGATCGAAGAACTTTAGTTTATGTTAAGTTGCTCGGAAAGTGCACTACATATCCTGTGTTGTGTTTAGGTCTTAGTGCGAAAAACAACACTGGTATGGAGGCGGATCTAGTTGGCAAGTCCCAAATAGGACGAAACGCGCTTCTTATATTATACCATTAGACATTGTTTATTTACTTGATACTTATTTTTGTAACTTTAATTTCTGAAACATTTACTGTACTTGATTGACTATTGATCAAACTCACTTTATTTTAACTGATTCATTTCCGAATCGCTTTGACGTCCTATCATACCATTTATAATTATATTTTTATCCTCCATCAATTAAAGTATCTTTGTTTACTTTATCCATTTTCCTAGATTATTTGTTTTGCTTTTTAAGATAGTCAATTGGTCATACATTTTTAATAAACAATATTGTGTTATCTACGTGAAATAAGTGATGTTATAATATTTAGGTGGAGTTTTGTTCTCTGAGAAGGATGGTTTAGTCGTGGAGCTTTCATTGTTTTTCTGAACAACATTATCAGCACAAACTTCAGGTAGAAGTGAAGTATTCGAATTTCTCCACATATGACTCATAGATTGTCCTGTCAACCTCGATCTTGATTAGTTGTTGTTGATCAAGCCATCCAACAAAACTCCACCTACATCATCTACCTAAGCTACAAATGTCCACCATCTCAAAATCTTACTAGTGTGTTGGGGAGACCCGGAAAAGTTCTCGAAAAAAGCCCTAAGGGGCCCTGAAAATACTGGAAAACAACTTATGCAATCAGTATCGGAGAGAAACTTCTCAGAAATGTCTAGAAAGTGAATAGTCACGCGATACATTTTTGATTGGGTGATTAATTATTCTGCTTCTTTGTTTAATAGAGTTCCGGAACTGTTCAGAAGCCCAAGGCCATTTCAAATGATTTTCTTACTGAAAATGCACAAGAAAACGTGTGAATCGTGACTAAATAAAACCTAAACGAATTTTTAATGAGTTTTTCATTTTAAAACTATTTTAACGCAGTAATTCATCCTTAAGGTTTTCATCGTCATCAGTAATTTTTATCTTATCCATATTGTATCTGTCGATTACATCAATCATATTTGATTGGTTTTTGAATGACCTAGTAAACATAACATGATATGGTCACATCATCAATAAATATGATTATAAAGATATTAATGACAATTATGGTACAGAAACATAAAACAACTATAAATATTTTCTTGCGATATCTCATATCTCACTAATTTATAGGATTTTTGAACGATAATACTCAGTCCGTAACTATTAGAAAATGATATTTAGTAATTGTGGGAGTTTAAAAACCTTGATTCCAAACCAATGGTGCACATGAGCTTCAAGGTCCTGAGGGAACAAATGGAATTTGAACCTATCGTTGGTCATCGGATACCATGGGACTGCATTCCGTTACGTTGCTCCGCTACCTCGTGATTAGACCTTGAGGTCAAAGCCTCGGAAAGTGACCCCCTTAGAAAGTCACCTACTTCGGTTTGGGCACCCGGACAGTATTCCAGCTCACACACATATCGAATGACGAAGTGTGACCCATATATATTTTGTGCTTCATTGTATCAATATTTATGTGCTTAAATAGTAACAATAGTGCAAATCGTTTTAACTGACCTAAAATCATACAGAAAAGAAAATAATTTTCAGGTGATTTATGTTAATTAATTGTTAAATAGTTGAATATATTGTTCGATAAGATTAATTCAACGGCTTGACAACAGTATTCCCACTTTTTAATGCAACTTTCATTTCTGCACATGTTGTATATGGGAAACATTTCAATGAGAAAATTTATTCTCTTTTCTTTTTTTTCATTCTGTTTAGATTTCATTATCTACAAATGAAAATTTGAATAAACACGATTCATCAACTCTACGCTCAATATCAAAATCTCGTGAATTATATAATTCTAAAAATGTGATTGCATTTAATTCCAATGAATCAAATCGATTAATGTTTTTAATATTTGGTGCTTTAACCGGTGCAATGCTTTTAATTATGATTTGTTTAGTTGTATTATGTATATGGCGTCAAAGACGACGTGATAAACATTGTTTAATAATGAATAATTCTACAAATGGATGTAATGTTATTTCTTGTAATTCTTCAATGAGTAAGTGTAAACAATTTTGTTTTGGTCCTGTATTTTATTTATTATTTCCTTATACATTATATGTTGATTGGGAACATGTGTATGTATATGATCACTTGTTTTATAGGTTATTTCAACAGCTGTTTAATTATTTCTCACCACTTTTATACTCTGTTTATACTGTTAAATACTATGTTTTAAGTTATGTATGATGGTAATTATCAGTTGTACATCTACATATTGGTACATATTAAATATGTGCAGTCTTATTATAAATAGGGTTGGACAGATTTGATCGAATAGTTTGTTATATTTATGATACTGGTGGTCGATAGAACGTCAACTGACCCTAATTCAAAAGATCAAATAGATCAACTGTATCATTGAAGAATAATGGAAGTAATTCAGCGAAGAATATTTCGTTTTTGAAAATTTCATTTACTTAAGTTGTACAATCGTATATATAGTTAATTATATTTGATAAAATAGTAGTCTGTAGTAGAATAGAATAGTGTTGAGTAATTATTTTGATGACTGTTGATTAGCCTTAATTACAACGTTTAATTATTTTAATTAGAACCATTAACTGACCAATGTTAGACCACCATTGGTAATCTGGTGGTATGGGACTCCTCAGCAGTGCTCATCCACGACCCCGCATCCGGGGATCGAACCTAGGACCTTTGATTACGTGCGCGAATGCTTAACCTCTAGACCACTGAGCCGGCATCAAACAGTGATAATTATTTTATTCTTAATAGCCATCAAGTGGAAAATTATCTTTATCTTATCACTTTTCACTAGCTGACTATTACGTAACTTCAAATATCTGAATTTCGCAAACAATTCATGACAAGATACCACTTCAGGTTTTCTTTTTAACTATCCAACATTCCATTTCACTATAGACTACTATTTTAGCAATTGAAATAAATACAGCTTAAGTGAATGAAATCGTCGAAGAGAAAATTTTATTCCCTGAATTGTCTTTATTCTTATTCATTTACCCTAATATGCTATTAGAGTTTAACTCAATTTAAATTATTGTTCAATGAAATAGCTATTATACTTTAAATATCAGGAAATGAATGGAATAGCTACATCAACTTAAAAAATTGAAGTTAACATTTAAACGATTTCTATTATTTCAGTTTGTTGAATGTTGACGATACATGTAATTAAATAACAACTTCATGTAATAAACTGAATGTTTTATTAGTGTCAATGTAGCTTACTTATAGACTAGTTACTAGTTCATCTACTCAACTCTGAGTTTCAATGTTAAGTGTATGAACATTAATCAACTATCCAAAGCATTGATTAGTTACCCGATCTCGAGGTTTCTAACCCTGTGGTCGAAAATAAGTTTTAATCACTATCGAAAAGTCACTGTTACGCGTATAGGTACTGCTCGAGAGTGAACAATTTATTCGTGAATACAAATGTTTGATTGAGTTTATGGAGATGAATGCAACAAAATTAACATATGAATCAAGAATAACAGAAATGGATAAAATGTTAAAAATCAAAAATTCATCATTACAGTAATGTGTTAATTCATTTTCTTTGACGATCAGTAAAAGTAACTGTAGCTACTTAGATTCTAATGAAATAATGCTCACATTTTTTACTGTCAACATAAATGATAGTTGGTTGTTTAAACTAAGCTGCATTTTGTTTATTTGTTAAAGTGTTTTAGTATTTCTAAATGAAACATTGACTAAATAATAACAAGAATAAATTCTTTACGAGTATACATTCTTTCTTTCTTTTCATCTCATTCCGTTCACCGGTTCCCGATACTGTTTAATTAAACATGCAAATAATTTATGTTGTTAAGTTTGTCATATTTATCATTGCGTAACATTCATACCTGATATCTAATATTTATTTAAGTATCATATTTCTATAGTCTTACAATTGGGACCGCTGTGTGTGTGTATAAAACACTCAACAATTTTTTTAAGAATCTGGATCATATTGTTTTATGTTAACTTTCATACAATATTGTCGTTAAGTTGGTGTGTGTGTTGGTTTTTTTAAAAAAATAAAAACAAATCACTTAAAACCTTTTTTTCATTGTTGTATCTTGTTTTACTTCTCCATAGATACAGTTGATAAAAGTTTAAAGAAGACAGGTTTCAGTGGAACTGGTGGATTTTTACTAGATAATTTGAATGCTGCCAGCTTGATGACTTCATCTATTACCTCTTGTGGAAATCAAGTGATTGATGTAAATGTGGAACAACTACAGTATAATGACAGGACAACTTTACCACATCAACGTTCTCGACCACCACCTATGAGTCCTGCACCTCCGCCACCGTCAAATATACCAATATCATCATTTCAATATTTCACTAGGAATGAAAATTTTGAGTTAAAAAGTTTAATGTTAGACAGTGATAATAGTTATAATCATCGACAATTTATAGATAATATGTCTAAATCTGTCTTCGTAACTTCATCTAATTTCTATCCGAATAATCTACCTTCGGTAATAACATCTCTTTCATCTTCTCCTATGTTTTGTACAATGATAAATTGTAAAGGTCATGATGTTGTTGTTAATAATTCACTTCCAAAGTCTCATTTATTATTAGCAACACCGTCGTCAACAGGAACTATTACTGTTGGAGTATCTTCAAATAAGTCTATCGGTTCAGTAAATCGTATGGATAACTTAACTAATCATGAAATTTCAAATTATTTACTACAATCTTCAATATTAAATGGCTTAAAACGTGAACCACCAAGCGGTGGTTCAGTGCACGATGGTACTGATGGTAAGATTAAACGTTTATCGATATTTTTTCGTCTTTTAATTATTCATTATTTATCCATTTGTTTGCATATCTATTCTTGAATAAGGTCTTAGTTGAATATTTCTGTTTTCTCAAATCTTAATTTTTTTCTTCGACAGAAAATAGTATGTGACATACTTGAATGTGAAAGGACAAATCCCTTATTGATTAAATTTTAAGTATATTATTTGAGGTTGTTTGTGTTAAATGCTACTTTTAATTCATAGAGGTAAATTAAGTTCATAGAGTTCTAGAATATCACTTTAAGTGATACTTTTGTACAATTCTTGTTTATTTATTTGAGTCAATAGGATAGCATCTTTATTAGGAACTTAGATAGCATTTTCCATTGTTTTCTACTTTTAAATTCTGCTACACAAAATCATGGGTATATTTTCTTGATTTACAATCCTGGTGTACGTACTTAATAGTGGATTTATTTAATTGTGCTGTATAGAAGTCTGGTTGATTTAACCGGCATACAATTTATATTTAATATTTTTATTCATTACCTGAGGTTTAACCTTACCCATCTAATCACCTTACAGGTGTGTTATAAAATTAAATGAAAAGATAGTTTTCTCATTATTTGTTTACTTGTTGTGTTCGAAATGATTAAGTGACATCAACGTTTGTTTCTGATTCTCATTTGCATATCATCTGATTATTTTTAAGATTATTAAAAACAAATGATCTGGGTCTTATTCATAGTTATTAAACCAGTATCAAAGTCTTTTGAAGTTGTTTCCGTCGCTCAAGCGAAATGACCAATACTCAGTTTATAAACTTTTTTGCTATCCTGTTCTACTAAACTGCCAATGTATAATAGTTTACTGCCGTTATTCTGTCAAACGTTCTCACATATTGTTTTCATCTGTATCGTTTTATTTATTTATCTGAACACAGAAATTTTGGTACAAAGGGGCACCAAATACATATGCGTCACACAATAACAATGAGAATGTGTAGAGATAAAGAATGTAAAGTGTGTATAAGAAAAGGAGGAATAATGACGAACAGAAATTAGTGTATGATAGTGAAATAATAATAATGGGAGAAGCAGTTCAGTTAGCCAAGGTGCAACCTGAAAGAATTAAGTTACGTCCATTTTTTATGAAGAAAGTAAAATAAAGTTACAGCAGGATCGCCACTGGCTTCTATTCTGAACTATATCTGATAATGTCTCTAGCCACTGTGTTTTACTATATCTAGGACCCCAACCATGGATTTGTGAAGGGCCAACAGAAGCTACTCCTATATAGCTTTCATACCACTGACCTCCTCTCCGCTTTTTCCAACCAGTCCTAGCGACGGTAAATAATGCACGACATGGAATTTTGCGGGACGACATTCGTAAAACATATTTGAGCCACGGATGTTTATGTTTCAAAATAGTGAAACCAATTAAATTATTGTCGTGGTGCCCGAACACACGATGTCGAACCTCTGTATTGCTAACATGGTGTTGCCACTGCATGTCAGCAACTCTTCGGAGACAACGACGACCAACCATAGAGAGTCGTCTGACATCCTCAACTCGGAGAGGCCAGATTTCGCAAGACTGGTGCGAAACTGCTCTCTTTTACAGCCAGACTAACATCACGAAGGCGCTAAAGATGATCTAGATTGGTATAAGCCGCTTTGGCTTTCACTATATGTGAATTGATCTCATCACTCACGCCACCACCAGCACTTATGTAGCTACCTAGATACACGAACTTCTACCTGCTCATTACACAGGGTGATTGCAGGATCAGAGTCCTGCCAGTCTTGTAGAAGTACTTTTCACTTCGAAGGTGCAAAACATATACCGTATCTACGGACACTGATTAAGTGCGGATTGCGTGGCTTGGGCATTATTGCATAGTAAGACAATATCATCCACGTATTAAAGGTTGAAAAAGTCTTTCTCCGGGCAACAGATCCACACTGCCATAACTTACATCCATCAGAGCTGTTTCCAGAATGTCATTAATGGCAAAGTTGAAGAGGAATGGTGAGATCGGGCAACCCTTTCTAACCCCACTGCTTGAATTGAACAATGGGAAGAAGTGGTTGTATGCCCTCACTCTACCTGAGGTGTTTGTATATAGGGCCTTTAAGATGTTAATAAACTTCTCAGGCACACCTTTCAATAGAGATTCCCGGATAACAGTCCTCTCCAATGAGTCGAAGGTGGCCCTAATGTCAATAAACTTTACGATTGTTGGCCTGTGATAAGCATGACAGTGTTCTAACATTTGGCGGAGGGTGAAGATATGATCAATACAGTGATTGGCATTCCGTCATCTTCACAGATTGTTTCGCTCACACCAGACTTATTGCTGCCAGTGACTCGGATGAGTTGGAAGAGCTTTGCTCAATTTCATTACTTAACAGTCGTTGTTTGTGATCAAACTCACGGTCACCCAGAGTACACCGACGTAGGTGGAGATGATGAAAATACATCGTTTCTCACGCTTACTTCTCAGTTTGATGGAACTTTCTAGTGCAACAGCATTTACCCGATTGGTAATAGGGATCCAATTGATCAGTGCTGTCTCATCTATGGAGCTTAGTGCGACATTAACGCCAGTGTGTGAACTCTGAAGGAAGCCAGTTTGAATGATATACTTGGTTTCAGAAAGACTGTTTAAGTATTCGTATTCGGTGGTAGCATTCAACTTTCAACGAGTCGGTGACTCGATATCGTTTACATAGGACATGGTTTCCACCATAGGCGAGCTGCTGCATAAGTTGAAAAATAAGAATATACCAAGTGAGAATAAAAGAGAGTAGATAAGTGATGTAGTATATATGGAAATGAAAATGAATTTTATTAAACGAATGTGAACTGTCTGAATTTTAATTGAGATAAGAATAGTATTCCCAGTAGTAATTGTCATTTCATTCTATATGTGTGTGGGCTGTGAAACTGCCCGGGTGTCTAGATCGAAGGAGGTGGTTTTCTTAGGGGGCCACACCCGGAGCGTTTGATCTAAAGGTGACCAACAATAGGTTCATACGCCTTTTGTTCTCTGAGGATATTGGAGTCCACGTGTTCCATTGGTTTGGAATCAGGGTTTTCTAACTCCGGCAGGTTGACCCTCGCTTTTCGTCTTCTCAATTTTGTAACCAACACCTCTGCCACGAGATGGCAGTAATTAGGAATTCCTTTTCAGTGGCTGTACACTCGTGGCCGTGTGAGAAGATTTCGAGAGAGATGGTGGACTCTCCCCACTCTTTGCTGTACCAGGACATGTGGGAGTCGTCTGTATCGTACACAAAACTAGATGGTTATTGTTGAAAATATTCATTTATTTGTAGAAGGAGAATTTCTTGTAACTCTGTAGAATTTTGTTATTTGACTTTCCAATTTTTTTAAAATTTGAGCTTGAATTACAAGTAATTGAATATGACGCTAACAACTTTTCACTATTAATTCTTATAAGACTAGAATAGTTTTTTCATGGTTGTTATTATGTTCTTCTTGTACTTTGCTTATTGTTCTCTCGGTTTTCATTCAATTTTACATTATATTCATCATCATTTATGTGACGGCATTTTCTCTAGAATGTGACAGTTGATCATTATTTTTTAATTCATGTTCGTTTTACAAACGTTTATTATTCCAAGCTGTGTATGTACTTTTTTCAACATACACTATCAATTGTCTTTTATATAGAGAAATATTTCATATTCACAATTTCAAACATCTTAGGCCTTATACATATTGTGTTTTAAGTATGCAATATTATATATTAGAACTAATAAGAATTATTAGTAGTTTGTGATTACGTAAGAATTGCTGACCTTTTCCCTCGTTTCATTCTTCATAGACTACCCTGACTTAGTATATGAGATTGTCTTGTGTACCTAGTTTTCTCTCTTTTGTAATTTTATTTCAATAAATGTACTTCTGTGTGTGTGTGTGCGTTTTGTTTCGATTGTCATTGTGAATCCTGTCATAAGTTTTTAAATTGTATTTTCATATCTTGTACTTCTCTTTTCTTGCTCTGCGTTCTTCATGTAATGTAACATTGAATGGATACTTGTTATATTTTTTTCCCGTTGTTTTAGTAATTCAAGTGAATACTTACTGTTGATTTTATACCTTTTCTATCTCTATTTCTTTTTCTTCTCGCATTCACGTCAAAGTATACCCTTGTAGTTTTATTTTTTCTTATATTCTGTGCAATGTTGCAAATTGTTTAAATTTTCCTGTAACTGTTCTGTTTGTTAATATTCGTCAACACTTAGGTTTATGTAAGCTGGTCGGTGGCCTATGCTTCATTAGGAGTAACAGGCGTAAGTAAGTAGGTTTATGTAAGGATAAGGTTGTGAATAAAAACCGGTACTGTTTAAGTGAGTGATTATGGTTCTCCTCACTCATTAATTGTATTTTGTTAGTTATAGACAGTCCGATTATGTAACTCTTGAACATTTATTAATCAAATCATTTGACTCATCATGTTTAACGGAATTCATTATATCCAGTGTATAGTTTTGTTTTTGAATCACATCATGAGATTTTCTTCGAAGATGTGATAGCGAAAAGTCTGACAATAAATTGTGTTGGGTTGTTTGTATTTAATTCAAATGTATCAGCAGAAAAACCAGAAGTGAGCAATATTGATATTTACCTGTGCCAAATACATCCCAAGTCTTTGAGTGAGTTAATATGGTTTAGAATAAATGACTGAATAAGGTAGGCGTTTAATAGATGTGCCTATATACAATCCTACACGGAAAAAAGACACAGAAGTTTACAAGTAATTATGTGAATAAGTAGTATGATGAAAATGAATCATTAGTTACATTCTGTCTCATTATTACCATTTTTCCCAGTGAGAATAAGTGTCCGTAAGCATAGAACAAGTTATCGCATACTGACTGAAGACTGATAAAGACAATACTATCCGACTGCTTTAACTAGAACAGATGTCATATTTTTTACTCTCGTTAACAACTTAGTTATTGAAGTTCTGAGTGTTTTTGCCACATGAAGCCTTCTACTGGAAACTACTAAATTTATATCTTCATATCATATTAAAATGGTCTAATGATTTTTCTGTCTAGTCATTTGGTTTTCGAATAAAATCATCCATTAGTGGTTGACCCTACACGAAGTACTTGTCAACAGTATTTTTTTTAATATTACACATGGCTTATTAGGATTTCTAATACCTCACGTTGTATATCTGTTATCTTATTCTTAAACTTGTTAAGTCCAAAACTGTATCTCTTCATAATTTTATCAGTAGATCGTTACAAATATTGGTTAACATGAGAAATTAATATAATATATGAGTATCAATAAGTACAATGTGTAAGATAACAAAAAGAATCTTTCATTCTGATCCGATCAAGTTAGTCACATACAACGCGGAACGTGACACATCTGCATCAGTTTAAATTGTCGTACCACATAAGCACAACATGATAAAATTACCAAAACAAATCCCAAAGTAATAGAAGTAGTAACGAGTTAGGTATAGAAAGAGAAAAAAGAGTTATAAGGGGATTTCGGGGTTCAGTTTCTGAAAGAAAACAAAGAATAAATTCAAATACACAATTGTTATCGATTCTGAGCCATATCAATTGAAGTCTCTAATCGTCAGTTTCTTATTTGATCCAATTAATTAAGAATGACAGAACTAGTCTCTAGGTCGATTAATATAATATTCACTTATGTCTGCCGATATTATTTTCTGGAAAATTTGAACTTTCACTTAGTTATTTTTTTATAAATTATTTATTTAACTACAGATGAATCTGTTTTACCTTGTGACAAAAATCCGAAAACCAATCTGTCTGAATATCCTCATTCTTATGAATTCTGTTCGTATTCATATCAAAATCCCACTGTATCTCATTCTTCACATCATATTGATGCAATTAATAATAATGTTCATGTAAATGGTAGTGCTGACGAAACAAATTCAATTATTGTAGTTCCTAATAGAGGATATAATTTATGTCCAAATAATAATGAAAAATACCAATCAATGCATCAACAAGTTGATACACATTCTAACCCAACTCATTGTTATCATTGTCAGAAACATTGTCATCCAGGTGATAATTCTCGTTCACCGAATATATTTGTCAATGTGGACCATATGTCGAGTGAAAATTATCAAGGTCAACAATATCCATCAAATATTATGTTTACATCAACTATACCAAATTATGATCCTGGTCTACTCACTCCACCATCTCCAGATATTGTCAATGTGAATGAAGTGCATAATGATAATAATAGTAATAGTACTAATTATAATCATAATTCTAGTAACAATTATGCAACAAACCTGTACGATAATCACCCATGTCCTAATGTGGTTCTTCACACAAGACGTCGTCATCCTCGTTCAAATTCATGCCAATTTAATCAGCCGCAACAATCACTTTCATCATTATTTATTCACCCTGCAATGATTACTAGCTATAATAATAGGTAAGTATTTGATGTTAAGTTTGTTAGTTCTCATTTCTAGTTTGCTATTATTCTATGGTCGGCAGAAACTTGATAGGAAAAATCGCTGTACACTCTCAGCTGATTAAAATTGGAAATGCAGATCATGTCCACTTAAGTACTTGAATATTCTTGGTTCAATCTGTAAATGTGTCGTGGGTATGCACTACTAAGAAATACCCAAAGTAAAATTAAGTAGCTGTTCAATGCTCTCTGGCTTATAGTTATACTGTTTTGAGATAGCTTGTGATAATTTGATTTTCAGAATGCAGGATGAGTTTTAATCGAACTCGGTAGACCGACTGACTTGCTAATACACAACACTTCAATGATAATCTCCTGTGCGATTGAAGACAAAGAAATCAGTAACTCACTGATAGTGATTAGTGACGTTATCTTCATAGATCAGAACTATTGTTTATCAACAAAATTTGAAAAAAATCCGATATAGTTTCACCTCTTCCCATCAATGATGATATTCATTTTACTGTTGTTTTGTGACGAATATCACATCTCTAAATTATGTTCCATACAATGAGTCCAGGTTTCTCTAAACTAAATTTTAAACACTTAAGAAACGGTTCTTACAATAGAGATTTTATCTTTGTAGCTTTTTTCTTCAATATTGACATTACAGCATTATTGAATTGAGTATTTTATTGGAGTAATTTGGACCACTTTTTGTTTTCTAGAGAATGTATTATTTCAATCATGCACTTTCCGTACATTATATACTTCATTTAGGTAACAATGTTAAGTCAAAATAATTTATGAAACACTTTTTCAAATAACGTTGCTTATATATATACTAGTTATCAAATAGCCTTGACTGACCCAACTTTTTAGATGAAATGAAATTGTTGAAATGTAACTATTGCAATCATTAGTTGGGATGATGAACCAATCAGTGTTGGGCCACCATTAAAAACCTGAAAGCACTGGACGACCGTTTTGTCCTAGTATGGCACTCTTCAGGAGTGCGCATCCACGACCCCATATGTAGGGCTCGCATTCAGGACCTTCGGTCTCGAGCGCGAACGCTTCTTATAAAACTTAACAATCTCCACAACCATGTACTGATAGTTATTGTGATTATTTTTAATCCGATCATACAATTGCACTACATGATTGTCATTTTTCTTTTCATATACCATCTGTTTATTTTTGAATCCTAACACAAATTCTTTTTCTTTAAAAAAAATTTTCAGTTCAGAAAAGAACGTAAAATACTTTGGCTTGAGTCAACCAATCAATCATTATTGTCATCGTAATCATTGTTCAATTCCTTGTGCCAGTAATTCACAACAGAACTTCAATGTTTCTTTATCCAAATAGTAATATAAATCATATCAATATTTCTTATTATCACAGTGTCGTGTTGTTATTCTTTACTACTCACCTCAGGTTTACTAATTTCAATCAAGTTTCGAATTGAAAAGAAATGCTTTTTACGTTTTTTTCTTCTGATTCAATTATTATCAGGTAGATGTACAGGTTGTTTTACTCCTTCCAATTTAATGTTCGTTTGCCTCTGAATATGATTATTCATGATTAATTTTAGTCATTCAATACACACAAATTTTTGAAATGTTGGTTGGAACAATTTGAAAATATAGGTTGTTTGTGTGTCGAGGGATATTTAGAGTGTTGGCTCAGTCATTAAATCATAGCTTCGAACTCTTCTCCTACTTCAGTTTTCCCAAGCGATTAGTACCGCTAGCTCTCACACTTAGAATGTGGCTGAAAGTGAAGTACATAAATCTGTTTCTAGTGAATTAGTTAATCATCCAAGACAGATTTCATAGACAATTTTATTTACAAAGATATGAAATCTGAAATATACGTCGTGTAATACCATGATATTCAATTTAGCTGTTTCATTTAAATAATTAACCTGAAGCAAAGCTATGTAAAGTTGGAATAAATGGAGTTTTGTATAGTTGCTGGAAATAAGTTAGTGTTTTTTCTCACAATTGATAATTATAAGTTGAGATAGGTTTCCATGTTTATAGAATGGATCCATTAGAATATAACAAATCGCTGACTCTGTGTTAGCACCTGAAATCGGTAATATTTACTGATCAAATGTGTTGTTCATTATGAAAGTTTGAAAACATTTTAATTTTTAAAAGAACTGCGTTTTACTTCTGATATCTCTGTACGTTTCTAATGGACTGGATAAAATATAACTTTCAAAATTAGTCAGTTAGTTCCATTGTGGATTATTATTTTTGTTAACTCATTTACCGGGTAAAGATTCGTGTATTTGACTTCGAGCTGCTCTCCAAATGTCAGAGTTGATGATACAAATTGATTGTTTATACCGAAGAAGTTGAAACGGAGTTCTGTATCTTCCATTTAGTGAACGAATGTTGAACAACTCAATTATCGACCTTTGGTCCATCGTGGATTGATGTCAATTAGAAAACTGTTTAAAAATCTGCAGCCAATGAAGATCTCTTTATAAAAATTTTAGTCAACAACTTTTCTACAGTGTATACATACACATTTGCAGATGGTACAGCGTTTTCTACTTTTCATTGCAAAATTATAACTCACATAATCAATAAATTGAAATGTGATTTAGTTATATACCGTTAGCATAGACTGATGAATGTGAATTAATTGCTATCATACTATCGCTAAAACTGAAATTTAGAGTTAAATCCTTCCTATACTACATCCTTATATACAGCCTTTCTTTTATATATTTCCACCACTAAATTAACTAATTCTATGAATCCGGTGTTCATCTTGTTGTGTTAACGAGGTATGACAACTTAGACCGATGCATAAATGTGCCTGGTCCTACGTTGTAGCTGACTGACTAAGAGTTAAATTTGATATAAAGTCGTTGATGCTTACTTTTGAAAAAATTTTCCAAACTAAATCAGTCCATGTGTTCAAAACTTTCTACTTCTAAATGATAGACAACTGATTTCCTAAACTTGTTATATATATATCAAATTCGTTTTGGCATAGTTGATCGTTTTTCCTTTTTTTTAATATACATTTGGCAGGTATCCAATTAATATTCCTACAAAAAAAAAGAAGTCAACCTACTCAGGAAATTTTTAGTCCATATCTTTTCTGCTTACTTTTAAACTTCTTCCATCTTTTAAAATTATCATCATTTTTGTTCAAAGGGTTGATCGAAGTCTGTTGAAATGATCAAAAAGGTATATACCTTGTATATACATTGAAATATAATTCTCTTTCAATTTGTTTATCATAATATTAACTAGATTCTGCAAACTTTTTTTTTCTAATCACTTGTTTTCATTTGTTTACTTCATTTTTAATTATATTTCTCTGCTTCATTTTTTTCCACTTATCATAAATATGAACAACGTATATCCATATATATGTAACCATGGTAACAAAGGGGAATACAACAATGTTTTATAATTTTCCTTTTATAAAAAAAGTCATTTATGCTTCTTTAATTTTCTTTTTTTAAAAAAAAAAAACTTGGCAAATATAAGTGTACAGTGTATATTTATTTTATTGCAATTAGTATATATACATATGGATTGTTTATATTTTCTAAGTGCATTTCTTATTTAATTATGGTTACATGGTGTTTTTTCTCTCGTTTCGTTCTTTTTTTTCTTTCCCAAAGAAAAAAAATAATGATCTAATTAATTTCAAGTGTCTTTTTTTTAATTACTAATTTGTGTGTAATTTTGTAAATAAAATTTTCTTTACTATTGTCTCTTTCTTTTTTTGTTGTTACTTGATTGTTTTCTCTTTCGTTATGTTTAGTTCGATCTATTTCTATATACTTATTTGTAAAATGAGTATATTCATTTGAACTTCTCTTTCATCACTCGATGTCCTCTCTGCCGATCCTTTGTATAATTGTTCAGTTTATATATATATATAACTCTTTTATTGATCGCGTCTTTTCAACTTTGTTGTAAATAGATAGTAAATATGTTACATGTCATCGCGTCTTTGGAAATTAAAAGGAAAAAAAATGTAAATAATCGGGATTCGTTGAAATGTTCTGTCAGTACTACACGTCAACTGTGTACTTGTATAATAATGAATAAATAACTCAAGTTGTTTTTTAAGTCAATCGTTCTGTTTTCACAATCTCATTTAGATTATAGTATGTAGTCAGAACATAGAACTTCGTACATGCGTACATCAGTTCGAGTTGCCATACCACATTAGCACAGATATGCAGTTGTCCATTCTAATCCCATAATGGTGAAAGTAGTAAGAGTATAAGCATCATATGGAAAATTAGGGTTTGAAGATCAATCAGTTGAGTGGAACTCATCACTATACGTCAACTTCATCGACTATGAGAAGGCGTTTTACAGCATGGACAGGAGAACATTATGGAAACTTCTTCGACACTATGGAGTTCCTGAAAAGATTGTCAGCATTATCCAAAACTCATACGATGGACTACAGTGCAAAGTGGTGCATGGAGGACAGCTGACAGATGCATTTCCAGTAAGGACCGGAGTCAGACAAGGCTGTCTACTCTCCCCATTCCTCTTCCTTCTAGTGATTGACTGGATTATAAAGAATTCGACATCTGATGAGAAGTACGGAATACAATGGACTTCTCAGAATCAATTAGATGATTTGGACTTCGCAGATGACCTAGCTCTCCTCTCTCATACACACGTTCAAATGCAGATGAAGACAGTAAATGTAGCAGCAGCCTCCGCATCGATATGCCTCCACATTCATGAAGGAAAAAGCAAGATTCTCAAATACAACACGGAGAACACCAACCCAATCACACTTGATGGCGAAACCCTGGAAGAGGTGGAAACATTCAAGTACCTGGGGAGCATCATTGATAAAGAAGGAGGATCGGATGCAGATGTAAAGGCGAGGATTGGCAAAGCAAGGGCTGCATTTCTACAATTGAAGAACATATGGAACTCAAAACAACTCTCAACCAATTTCAAGGTCAGAATCTTCAATACGAACGTCAAGATAGTCAGTCCTACTGTATGGAGCTGAAACGTGGAGAACTACTACGACCATCATCAGGAAGGTACAAGTATTTATAAACAATTGTTTACGCAAAATACTCAACATCCACTGGCCGGATACTATCAACAACAGCGTTTTATGAGAGAGGACAAACCAGCTGAAGAGGAAATTAGGAAAAGACGTTTGAAGTGGATCGGACATACATTAAGGAAATCACCAATGTGCATTACAAGGCGATCCCTAACTTGGAATGGTGAAGGGAAGCGGAGAAGAGGAAGGTCAAAGAACTCATTACGCCGGGAAATAGAAGCCGATATGAAAAGGCTGAATAGCAACTGGAAAGAAAGGCTCAGGACAGAGTTGGATGGAGAATGCTGTTGAGCGGCCTATGCTCCTCGACGAGGGGTAACAGGCGTAAGTAAGGGTTTGAAGGAGTATAATCCAGTGAAATAAATTTGAAAAGAGTAAGTTGGTTCTTTGTTCTGGATGTCCAAGTACCCTAGTTACTGTTATCGTTATCAAAATTATGCTTAACTACCTGTGTCAGATTGATTGTGTTGTTAATAATGTATGCTTTATGTTCTTTGAATAATTCTTGAGTTCGCAACTGCACTGTATGCAAATATCTTTTTTCTGCTTTACGGCTTCTAATTTTGATTAAAAAAGAAACCTGCGAGAAGTCTTTCACATATTTAACTAGTGTTTTTATTGGAACAAAAATACATATATTTCATTGTGTACATTAGAACATACAACTACTAGCCTGAAATAACTCATAGTAAATTGTCTTAGTGTTAAACGTTTTCATATGTCTAGCAGTGATATTTGTTTGACGAACCGTTCACACAGTTATTTTAATTTATTATAAATATTGTACAGTTTCAGTCTGCCTAACAAGTCAATGACGAGTATTGCTTCCTATGTACCAGAGTTGTATTCAGTTGAAAAATTTATTCTTGGGAACTTGTTTATTGTTTTGGAAGTTGCTCCTTCCCTTGTAATTCATGTTAATGTTTTTATATGCACTACTCTTTCAAAATTTTACAGTTATAATTTCAGTCTTGTTTATGTCCGAGATACTGTCTTAATGTTTGTGTGAGTGTTTTACAAAGAAAAAGACTGGTTAACATAAAAATGTCGACTTCATGAATGTTTCACTATTAGATGTTATATATACAGACTCCAGATTGTTCTCCTTGATGGATCTAAGATTTGTTTGCTAGACATTAATACCCTTGAGTATCCTCCTACTCGTTTTTATAGGTCAGTTGCGATATCTGATTTATTTAGAATCAAGTACATATTTACTCATGTTCATAGACAGTAATATAACATGATCATCTTTGCGAAAATAACGTGCTATATTGACTTTCAGCGTACTTATGACGAACATGATAAAATCCTTGTTAATTTAGATGTTGCGATGAATGTTCCGTGATATCCAACCACTTACGCCTGTCACCCCATCAAACTCTGTCCTAGACAATACTTTACAGTTGTCTCCAGTTGCTATTCACTCTTTTCGTGTCTACCTCCAATTCTCAACACCCTGTGTTATTTGGTCTTTCGCTTTTCTGTTTCCTTCAGCGTTCCATGTTAGCGCTTGACTCGTGATGCAGTCTGATGATTTCCTCAATCTATATCCTATCCACACTCAATGTCCCTTCCTAATTACTTCTTCAGATCCAAGCTCATCTATTCTCTCCCACAACAGACTGTTGTTGACAGTATCCATTCAACGGACATTCAGTACCTTGTGTATACAATTGTTCATAAATACTTGCAATATTTTGATGATGGTTGTGGTAGTTGTGCAAGATTCAACTGCATGCAGTAGAAGTGTCTTAAAATTTGTATTGAATATTCTGATTTCGATGATGGGTCGCAGAGTTGAATATGTTGTTCAGTTGTAGGAATGCTGTCTTTACTTTGCTTTACGTTTACATCTGAATGAGATCCTCCTTGTTCATCGATGATGCTGACCATGTTGTGTACGCGAACGTTTTCTATCTCTTCCAGAAATGGTCCATCGAATGTGTTTGGGTTGGTTGGTGTTTTCTGTGTTATATTTGTTGATGTTGGTATTTCCGTTGTGTATGTTGATGTCTACTGACGCAGAGACTTCTGCTACACTAGTTGTCTTGACCATTATTTTACATCTCTTCTAAATCCTCTGTAACGATTATTTATGTATGTGTCGCTTGAAATGTTTTATTATGTTGTATCTAGTCTTATGACTGAACCCTGTCGATTATTAAAATTGTTTAAATACAGTAAAAATAGTAACATAATTTTCTGTGAAAGCTCAAATGTTATTAGTAAGGTAAATTCTGGACCTTTCGAAAGTAATATTAGCCTATTTAATTAATACAGCATGACTGTTTAGTTGACATCTCAATATTTGAATTCCTTCTCCATACCAATGGCCATTATCTCTTCTGATTGCATCGTGTTTTACGTTCTTTATTGACTGACTCATCAGAGAAAATGCATGTCATGATTGGTTACTGTGTCTGTTTACAGTCGAATTATGATGTTTCAGCTTCACAGTATCCTGCCACTATCGATGAGGCTGGCTTTTTTTGTTGAGACATGATTTACTTGAGTGAGGGAGATTTATAACTACTCAGATTCTATGTTGAAGTGGTTTTGTGAAAACATACACAAATTGAGGTAATGGGCTGTATCTACTCACAAAGTTTAAGTAGTATGATAATGTCATAAAAATATTTATTTTAATCTGTATGTTTACAAGTCACTTCGTCATTTCAACATATCTTTTTGGATAGACTATCAAAAAGCAACGACCTATGAAACTCCGTTTGGCTAGAGTGATAATAGATAACATCTATAACTTCGAATTAAAGAGGTAATTTATTTAAATGGTCTGTGAACGCTTATTTACTGAATTTCGTTTTTTGTCACTTTAATTATACGCGTAAGTGGATACATAATTACAGATACTAAGTTTGTTTCAGATACTCCAAATTATATTTTTGAATTATATAGAAAGTTGAACATATAACAAGCATGTGAAACATTCAGTATCATTACTGACTAAACTGTCACTAATTCTAGGACAATGCGACACACTTGTATGCGAATAAATTGCGCAGAATTTCATTTGTCACTAGTACATATAAGTGCGCTAGTATAGTTTTTATAGCAGTTTAAGGAATTCCAGGTTCACCAAAATAAACTGGAGTTTCTGAACTCGGAGTTTCATGGGGTTCATTGAAATCTCAGAGTGGAAATGCATTTTAAATGATGGGATTCCATAAAACATTGACATGATTGCACAGTATTTCGTTCGCCGAAAAGCGAATATATAATAAAAGACTCAAAATGTCTTTGTTTGGAACCTACATAGATGAAACTTAGTTCTTAACAAAACTCCTTTTTGTTTTATGAAAAATCTTCCCTTACAGTTAGAATGATTTACTGAACTAAATATACCATAGAAATGATCCTTCCTTAAGCGTTAATTTCGTTTAAAGGAGTTAGATGAACACACACAACTCTCATATTCTAATTCATTACACCATAATGTTCAAGGACTGATAAACCTATGAGCTATTCTTAACTTTACTTGTTCTTATTCTAACATCTCGTAAATCATACTTTTAATTGTTGCATTAAAAATATCTATTTCACACCAATTGCTGACTAGAAATGTTTGGTGTTGTTTTGGATCAAGATATGGTACCTAATAATGTTCAGTATTTTGAGTAAATCCACCAGTATCAAG